TTTAATATTTTTAAAATAAATTATCATAATTAAAAATAATATTATGCTACCATATAAATTATTTATCATAAACTATAAAATATAAATTATATGTTGTTGTAAAAGAATATATAATTTATATATTTAAAAATCTATTTATATAAATTTTAAATATAATTTATATATTCAAATATAATATTTATTTTATATTATATATAATCAATCCTTATGTCTTACACTTGACCATTGTTAAGGATTTTGCTTTGATGAGAGAGTTTCTTTAAAGATTTTTTAAAAAAAAATTATCTAATTTGATTCTTAAGTATCATAATTATTTATAAATTAAAATTTAATATTTTTAAAATAAATTATCATAATTAAAAATAATATTATGCTACCATATAAATTATTTATCATAAACTATAAAATATAAATTATATGTTGTTGTAAAAGAATTCCTAAAATACTAGTATATAAAATTTCAGAATGTGAAGAAAGAACAGTGGATTGTAGTAATAGTTACAAAAATTGAATAACTTAATTTAAAAAATAAGAGAGAGAGTAAATTTGAGAAGGATTATTAAAAGATTAAATTATATTTTTCATCTTAATTTTATAAAATTTATAATTTTAATCTTTTTGTCAAATATTCATTTATTAATTGTTAAAATTTAACATTAGACATAATTTCATATTAAATAAATAACATAATGATTAATATTTAAATTAAATTACACTTTTAATTTTTATTTTATTTTATTCTTATCCCATTTTAATATTTTTTATGAGATTAAAAAAAAGTAAAGTTTAAATGAAATATTATTTATTATATTGTTTATTTTATGTTAAATCGTAATTAACGTTATAATTTTAATTACGTATAAATATTTAATAAAAAGATTAAAATTATAAATTTAAAAATTAAAGAACTAAAATTACAGATATTGTAAAAAAATCAAAAGTATAATATAGTAGTATACCAATTAAAATGTATTAACTGGATCTATACTTTCCCTATTTCGCTCTATCCACTACAAACTTAAATTGGTCCTGCCAAAATGCAGCTGGGATGAAATGCAAAATTTACAGAATATTCGTGTAATAAATATAAATTTTTATTATGTAACCATCACATTGATATTTCACTACGAACTTCAATCAAGGCTCGTCACATACTTTTAGATCAGACAAATTTCCTCTTTCCAATTTTTTGCTTATTAGAAAATAACAACTACAGTAAAATTCAGTAAAAAAGAATGTTGTTGTAACCTTTAGTGGGGTTGGCTACATAGATAAATCCATACATGCAAAGTCATGCTTTTAAATTCAATAACAGAAAAGAAGTTCAATTGTGGGATGCAAGCTTTTCAATATTATTTGTACTCTAGAACTGTTCTTACAACTTACAAGGAGTATTTTATAAATTATATAATAATGTTCGTACATTAGTTGAAATGATCTTCATACCTGTAAACGACATCTTATACAAACAATTCCATAATTTAAATGTACAAAAGAAGGTGTTACATACAGAGAAACTAGAAAACAATAAACATGCACTAACCATTGCCAACTATGACTAGTGACTACACCTTCATATTATCCATTTCATCTTCTACACATCTTCATTCTGTACTTGGAAGTGGAATAAGTGAACGTGGCACCACACTTCTATACTATGATTTGTTCTTCTTTTAAGCGCAAATGTACAGGTCTTTGGTCATTGCTTCCAAACTCCATATCTTTAAGCAAAGGATGCTTCTCCGGCGCTGCATTATGCGGTTTTAACGGCATTGGATTGCTACTAGCTGTGTTGTGGCTGCTGTTTCTAGCAGCCGGCACATCATGATTGTGCTTACCCTCATACGTGGTTATGACGGCTTTGGGGTCCGTTGAAGCTCTCTCAACATGCTTACGCACGTTGCATCCGGCACTTGTGCATTTGTAATAACTCCTGCTCATAGACAACTTCAAAATATTTGAATACAAAATACATGGAAAGTTATGAACAAAACTGGCTAACAAATTGTTGTCCGATTGAAAGAACGAGTTAGATGCATAAGCATCACATTGAAAAAGAAGTTTGCATATCTTAGGAAACAATTAGAGCCATAAAGCATCTCAAGACGAGAACACTGGCTTCAAGAAGGGAACAAAACAAAGCAACAATTATTCCTATCGAATTTTATGCTTTTCGGGAGGGTTGGGTCAAAACTAAAGCCAACCCACATGTTAAGGATGTTACAGCATTGAAGAACAAAACTTGCATCCTGAAGTTATGATTATCTCATGATGAAAAGGGATAGTTATATAGTGTCGTACAAAAAATGCACGAACGCATATCATACACTGAAATGGTGCTAATAAACAGAAATACAGACTAATGCAACCACAAACAGCACCAAAAGTTTAGAACAACATCAACGTATGTAGGGAACACTTATATCAATGGAGCAGAACAAAAAATAAATAACATTTCAGACCCAAAGAAGCACACACAGTGTAGGAATAAAAAGATCTTTTTGTGCAAAACAGAAGAAAAAATATCAAATTCTAGAATGCCATGACAATTTTTTTTAAAATTTTTTTACAAAAACTGAATTTACAACTACAATATATACACAACAAATAGTTTAAAAAGTTCCTTGTAGAAACCATGCATGTGGTAGGTTATAGTAACCAGATTCTTTCAACAACTTTTCATATTGCAAACCCAATTTCCATCCCATTTACCGCTTACTAAATTCACTTAAAGGAATTCTTGTGAAAATAATGTCAAAAGTGTCAAACTGGATATCCATATGAATTCCATACCCATACCATATTTCTGGAGACTATTGGCAGACTTTGTCAAGTTAAAATGTTAAATTTCTCCCTATTTTCCAGTTGTAATTTGTCAAGCTTAGCATCTGGGTTTATAGCACCCGATCCCATTGATTATAGCAAGTGACAGATAAAATCCTACAATAGAATCCGAGAGGCTTTGAATCTGACACTAGGATAGGCGAAATCAAATTGCTCAGTGAATACTTTTAGCGCACAATATAAGGAAAACTAAAAGCATATGAAGTTGATTTAGGAGTAAGAACTGAAAATAATACTCGTTATATCAGTTATGTTTAATTTTGTTTAAGAAATTAGTAGCTTTATAGAAGAAATTTTGTTTAATTTTATCTGTCACTTTAGAAAACTATGAAGATATCAACTAATTTCTCTAATTTTATCCTTATCTCGTTAGATCTCCACTGAATGGTGATAGCAAAGCATCAATGAAGAACAAGGGTAATATTGTCAAAAACACTTGTCTTAAATGCTTTCATAATCCTTGAGCAAAAACCTTAACCAAATATTTTGAAACAGAAATAGTATCAATCTACACAGATTAGTTGTGAGTGTGACAGAGTAAATTACATTGACCTCCTTGAGGTTTAAGAAACACATGCAAAATCCCTCTTTAGCTTCAGAAATTACACTGACCTGGCCTATTTTAATATTAGGCAAATAATCCTTGCATAAAATTTAGAAGTTTTCTAAAGTCATACCTACTGTGTACATTTGTTCAGGGCATACTGTACCCATTTAAAATCTACTAAGGTAAATGTACAATAAACAACTAGAGTGATTTCATATTAAAAATTACTGCATGTTATACAAAATTAACAGACTAAATTTTAGGTAATAAAATCAATCTTAAACTTCTTATACTCCTGTTGCACTGATTCACCTTATATCATAAAAATATGGTGCTTGCTTGTTAATTTATCTAGAATGTTTTTATATATGAACTCAATAGAAGATACAGAAAACATAATGATGAATTCTTGAACGTTCAATTAACTTCATATCTATTGAGGTAATCAAACTCTGCAATTATTGATATGATTTCAAAGCAGTAATTTGTTTAAGATTTAAACCCATTTTAAATTTTTGAGAAATATGAACCTAAGAAGCTTTTAGAAGAAAAATTGTAGCATATAAGAATCATTAAAGTAATCACCTAGGATGAGGATTTCCCTTCACCACTTTCTGACCATACTTTCGCCACCTGTACCCATCATCCAAAAGATCAACTTCACTTCTTGTTTGCACAATGATTTTGGGTTCTGTAACAGTCTTCTGAGATAGGGGTACTTCAGTAACCGTGACATCAGTGTTCCTGAAAAGCAGAAATTTAGCCTACATCATGCAGAATTATAGAAGTGCATAGATGTATGATCAAGAATTAACATTGATAAACTTGCCTTCTCTTAGGGTTTGGCTCACTGTCATCTGCCTCTTCCCTGTTATCCACATCACCCACTTCCTCACTCTCACTCGATCCAGGTAGTAGTTGCCTAGGAGCTCCTTGATTGGAGGTCTGGTCACTTTCAGGAACTGAACAATCAGGAATGTTTTCACTAAACTTGTTTACTTGTCCAACCCATCCTTGTGAGTTTGACTCAGACTTAAGCTGAATAGTTGCATTTCCATTCAAATCATTATTATCTTTGACACGCTTATTTGCCTGAGGCTTTTCATGGTTATGTTGGCCTTTATAGATGATTTCAGTTATGTGACCATCGGGGGCACGCTCAACTTTTTTCTTCACAGGGCAATTCAAATGTGTGCACTTGTAATAGCTTCGTGGATACTCGCTACCCTTAACTTGCTTCTGTCCATACTTACGCCAGTTGTAGCCGTCATCTGCAGGTTTGTCAATGGGCAGGGAAGATGGTTGAAATTTCTTATCAGCCTGCGAGAGATCTGATGTTTCCAGTTGAGCATTTTTAGGTTCTGATACAGATGAAACTACTTGCTGCTCTGAAGCTTCATTTAGAGCAAAAGATTGCTGCTGTACAGGTGGTTCGGTGGGAGCTGTTACTGCAGGCAGCTGGTGGTAATCAGCTTGCATATGCATATGAGATTGTGCTAGGACAGCTTGAGCTGTAACCTGTGCTAAAGCCTGTTGGTGGGACATCCCAAAGGGGCTCTGTATACATCGAATTGAAGAGATAGTGAAAACCTAAAATTATATCCACCATCCCAAGGCAAAAAGATCACACTAATAATAATAATAATGAGAAAAATCCCAGCATCAGGACCAACAAATGATGTTAATATCTTTTTAAGGGCAAGACAGATCTTGAATAACATTTATGAAATTTAGCACGCAGTCACGAACAAGTAGAATGCAAAGCTACAAACAATCGTTCATAGAAAACAAATAAATCCAGTCCTTGAGTTGCTTAGTCAACATAGACTTGGATAATATCGTGACTTACAAATTTTGTCTTCATTTTCTGTTGTTGCCAAAAACACCCCATCAAAGTTATCATTAAAGAGAATCAAGGTAATGCAACCCAAAGTCATTTTACTATGACACATAATGCCTCTAAATATTTTGTAGAAGTGTGATCTAAAAATCCTATTCCTATCACTCAATTAATCCCTCCAACAATACCAACGACTTAATTTGTCTCACTCCAAATTCGCATACTGCATGCACTAAAGATCAAATCGTCGTCTGCAAAATCCATTTAGGCAACTCCAAAATGGAGAAATTCTTAGACAACACAGAAGCAGTCCACATAAAACAACACATGACAAAGCACAATTGTACTAAAACTCAGATCAAATCTGAATTGCAGAGAGCACTACAAATCCCCAAAATCCAATCAACCGATCCCACCCCGCTCTTTCAAAAAAAAAATCACTTTTTTACAAACACGTCTCCAAACACGATACACCCCTTTCTAAATGAATCGACAAAAACCGTTCTTTTTGGTTCGAGAAAGAATATTATTAATGAAATGAATGACCTGAGGGGAAAAGAATCCAGGGGAGTTGAGAAACCCAGAAGGGCTCAAACCAGGAGGGACAGTGAAGACCGGTGAACGAGCAATGACCAAATTCATGGGCCGGCTCTGCTTGAAGCCCTTGTGGGGCCCATCGTCGTCTTTGGCAGAGTTGTCAGCGGCGGCGGAGAAGGCCATGGGGGAGGCCATGGCGCCGGCGAGGAGCTGCGAGAAGGAGCGGCAGTCGCCGGCGTCGGAGCCGAAGAAGCTGGAGACGAGGGTCATGGGGCCGGGGCTGGCGGCGCCGGCGAAGAAGGCCTCGGCGGAGGGGCGCGGAGGGAGGGTGATGGTGGGGCGCGGCGGCGGCGGCGCGGCGGAGTCGGCGTTGGGAGTGGACATGGGTGGGTGGTGGTTGGGAAAGAAAAAAATAAAATAAAAAAAAAATGGATAGCACGAGTGAGCCACCGAAATGATGGGTTTCGTGTTGGGTTGGGGTGTGCTGTTGTCTGTGTGTTATCTTCAACACTCTCACCGCAAAGTCCACTTCGTGTCGTGCAAATTCAACATTATTAAAAAAAAATTAATAAACAAGTATAATTCTATAGAAGTATAGTGTTCTCTTTTCTCATTATTTTATTGTTACTAATATTTATCAGTTTTATCTATTATTAATTTTTGTTAAAAAAATTTGATTAATTATTTTTAGTTTTTTTTAACTACCTTTTCTTATTCAAAGAATTTGAATTTGAATCTTTTTAAGGATTAGAATATAGTACTATTCACACTAGATTTTTAGTTACAAAAATTATATATAATTTAAGTAAGTGTTGTTTTCTAATTTAAATTAGAGTTTTCTCTTTTTTTTTAGGTTAAATTATATTTTTATCCTTTTATAATATCAAATTCATAATTTCTAGTCTCTCTATTTTTAATTTTGTAGTTTTAGTTCTGTAATTTTATAAAAATTTGTAATTTTTGCCCTTTTATCAAATGTTTATCCATTAATTTTCAAAATTATAACATTAGTCATAATCGATATTAAATAAATGACTTGGTCATTAGTATTTAATAATATTTAGACTAAATGTAATATTGTACTTGTTAGACTAACTTTTCTTTTGGCTTGAATTTATGTTGAAGGACTTGAGGTGGGATGGAGATGTGCTGAAATCTTTTTCCTTCTCCTCTTAGATTCTAGTGTGTCTTAGAGTTGTGTTTTTGGTGGTTGATCATTGCCTCAAACGTTAGGAACTCAAGATCAATGGTGTCGGTGTGGAAAACCCAAAGTCACTTCCTTCCTTCTCTTCCTCTTCTCTTTTCTTGGTTAGTTTGAAGTCGAAGCAAGGGGAGGTAGACCAATTTTTTTTTGTATATTTAAGTTAAATGCATGATTTGGTTGTTGGTTGATTGCAATTGTGTGGATGAATTGCATGATCTTGGTTAGGGTTGCTAGACCATGGGGTTGTGGTATACAAGAGAAGAATTTGGTAGAATTCATATATCTTTTTATTGCATGTGTGTTTTGGGCTTAGAATTAGGTTGTTTGAAGTAGCTATATACTTGTGTATATGTTGCATGTTGGAGATTCCTTTGTTTTAGGTGGATTGAGGTAATTTTTGGGGTCTGCAATTGCAAAACTCTAATGTTGCACCAAGCAAGCCTTCATGGCACCAAGCATGACTCGCATTGGAAACTCTCTGTCTCGTTCACACTAGGTGTACGATTGGTGGTGTCGAACATAAGTTAAGGAGAAGTTTCTGACTCAGTCACGTAAGCGTGGTTTGAATGACGTCGAACGTGAGGTAAGAGAATTGTCTCTACATGATTAACACTAGGTGCCAAAGGCATGTCGTTAGTCATAAGGAAAGAGAATCGTCTCAAATTGATGTGAGGCCAAACTAGGATTTTGTCATGCTGGGCGCGAGGTCCCAAGGGTTCCTTACCTCAACCATGTTAGGTAATGGTTAAGTAGTGTAAGACATGGATGAGGCAAAGAACCCCCAGCCTTAATGGCGTCGAACGCGAAGAGAGTTACATTAGGTGCAGATTATGTTATGATTTGTATGTTTCCTCGTGAATAAGTTGGTGAACATGAATAAAATATGTGAGTATACTAAATGTTGTATGATGTATGATGTTGATGAACATTGATGAGCTATGTATGATTGATATGTTATAGTTGCATGATTGGAGTGTTGAATAGGCATTGATATGTTATTCTTGGATGAGTTGATAGGCATTAGTATGTTATACTAGAATGGAGTGATTTGATCTTTATGTGCATTGACTCGGGGTAATGTATATAGATCATGTGTGTTGAGGTGTTAATGCTATGGTTGATTGACTTAAACTAAAGGAAATGTGAGGTTTTTGAATGTTAAAGATCCTATGTAGGGAATATTGTTGTGGCATTCTAGGGGACTAGTTATTGAAAACCTCTCCTTGAGTAGGTGTAAAACTCTTGGAGTGAATTTTGTTGAGTCTCATTTAAGTCTTTAATAAATGTTAGAATAAAGAATGAAGTTGAGAGCTACAACCCTTAATTGATTACTAGAAAAGTTGAGTGATTTTTTTAGGATAGTTAGTGGGCTAATTTCATGAGTGACTTGATAACGTATGTCAAGGTCATGAGACGCTTATACCTAACTATATTAGTCCTAGCAGTAGAATTGAACTTTCCTAGTGTGAGTGGCAACATTCAAGAAATTAGATGAAGGATTAGTATTCCATTTTAACTGTTGATCTAGCAGGCATATTGGATTTAAAAACGATTGGTTTGGTTTGGTAAGCCATTTAGACTACTCAAGTGTGGTAGAAAATCTCTGTAGGTGAATGTTTAGCGAAACATTAGATGTGGTATTTGCATATGATGTGGTATGAGTTGATAGTATTCATATATATGCATGGTGTCAATACCTTAATGTATGTTACGATTATGATGAATGTTTGATTGACTTGAGTGTTTAGCTTTCAAACATGTTGATTGGTGACTATTGTAAATCATGAGGTGTTTATAGTTGGTTTACATATGGATATTGACAATAGTATAAATATTTCCTTCTATACTTGTATGTTTTAGCAGTCTAGCTTACACTTACATGTTTTTCATATGGTTTAGACTACGACGATCATGTTTTCATAGGAGCGGGGCATGGATAGCTGGAAAGGGTTGTTGGAGTTGTTGTGAGGCCATATTGTTGGCAATGTAATCAATAACTACTTTTGTTATTCTGTATAGATGCCACTTGATCAGTATTTAGGTTATATATTGAACTTTTACTGGATTAGTGTAGATACATATCTATATATGGTTTATATTTATATAGCTACTATTATATTATATATATATATATATATATATATATATGATATATAGTACATATCCAGATAATTGTAAATGTATAATTTTAAGTAGTATATATAATTTCTGCTACTAGTGGTGAATGGTTTCATAAATGTAATGGCTAAGGCGAATTGTTACACTAAATTATACTTTTAATTATCATTTTTATCTCATTTCATCTTATATAATTACTTTTATGAGATAAAAATTAGAATTAAAAATAAAAAATTAACTTGAATATTATATAATTTTTATTGTCATGTCATTTATTTTATATCATATCATGACTAACATTATAATTTTAACGATTAAAGGATTAAATTGTCAATTTTATAAAATTAAGGTACTAAAATTGTATAATTAAAAACAAATATATCAAAATTACATATTTCATATTATAAGGGGAAAAAATATAATTTGACCTAATATCTATATTTATATATAAATATCTTTCTTTATTCTTTTTTACATTTTTTTAACATTTAAATCTCTTTATTTTATTTGTTTTTTTTATCATAATATCTCTTAAGGTTAAAATAAAACTGAAAAAAGGTAATATATATATATATATATATATATATAAATTAACTATTCAATCTATCAATAATAATTAAATACTTATTTTTAATTATTTTTAGTTTTTATTTTTGCTTAAGGTTATTTTATTTTTTTAATTATATATTATCTCACTTAATTTATACGTTATAATTTTTTTAAAAAAAATTATATTATTTTTAAACAAAATTAATTGAGAGATGAATTGTCTTTTTTTGTTTTCTTCAATAGTGTTTAATAAAAGTTTGCATAAAGAACTTATGTAAACTATAAAGAAAAGTAATAATGAAAGAATAATACAAATAAATTTTATATTTAAGTAAATGTACATAAATTTTGACCTTAAACTAATTAGCAGGATATGAATTAATCGGATAACAGTACAAATAATGTTGATACTTAAGTTATGAATATGTGGTTTATCGTGGTTAAATTAACGAGGATCGATAGATTTAATTAAAAAAAGTATTGGAGGAATGTATGTGATATTTAAATTTAACCTTTTATCAGTATTATTTCATTTTAATTATTTTCAGTAAAAATATCATTTACTTATTTCTCCCTCCACCTGCCTCTCATTTTGTGTCTTCTTTTTCTTTCGGTCTCGAAATTTGTTCTTTTCGATCACCATAGACAATTTGTTCTTTTTTTTCATTCACTACCACATTGTTTTTTTTTTTTCATTAGGGATAAATATGTAACTATCTAATTTTTAATTAAAATATAACTATAAAAGACATTAAAGAAAAGGAATGAAAAAAAATTATTCTAGCATGTCATAACCAATAAACTACTGTAAACAATATACTTAATGGAAACATCAAAGAACTCGTCTTATTCTTACGTTATTGTGCATGATTTTTGTCTTTAAATTAATTAGTAGGTTATGAATTACTAAGATATTTGTGATTGGATTCTTATATTAAATTTTTTATAATAGGCTAAATGATGTTATAAATATTTGTAGTTATGAATGTTTAAAATTAATTTTGAAAAATTTATCCTAATACTTAAAGGAACAATATACACGTGTAATTTTCTTAAATAATTTAGAAGAATTATTATGAGTAAAAAAATGCTTAGGTAATTTCACAAAATCTCAAGAAATATTTATATAATTTATTCATTAATATAACAATTTTAAATTGTTAAAAATAAGACGCAACTTTTAAGTTTGAAAGATTCAATCATAAAATTTTATAAAGTTAAAGACCTAGTTATATTTTATTTTTTTAAGTATCTAATTAAAATTTTAGAATAGTTCAAATCCTACTAATTAATTTAACTTCTTAAGATATTCAACCTTCTTCCCTTTTGGCCGATCTTGAAAACTGTTAAGTTAAAAATTACACGAGTTAAGACAATGCTTTTAGTAAATGTTTTAATTATTTAAAAGATAGTAAATGAATTCTGCAATTTTAAGTAAATGATATTTATATATATGTTTATAGTGGAATTTATTTATATAGATATGTTTCTTAAAATTATTGATTTTTTTATAAATAAAAAAATTATACATTCAATTTTTTTACCATGATATCAACCCCTATATATGATTTTCTTTTTGCTGTTGTACTTTTTTATTCTAAACCTTAAAATATTTTAGAAATGTGTGTTTCATTAATAATTCATTGTTACAGAACATA